ACTGATTCTTCCCCCAACAGCTTACTCCAAAGTGGAACAAACCAGTTAATTATTTAAGTTTAATTCATATTTTTGGTTTTTATCATTTCTCTGTGAAGTTAGTTTGGCTCAAGCCCCCTTTTGACACTTTTTTGTGTGTGTGGTGTTTGGCAAAATATAAATGTTCTCAAAGTGTCCCTCTGTTTTTAAACAATGATACAAACTGGTGGGCAGTGGGACAAAAATGTTATTTTTCAAGAGAATTGAAGCCTTTTTTGGAATACCAGGGACTGTCACGACTCAGTGTACTGGTCATACAGTGGGCTGAAAATCCAGCTGATTCAGGATCTGCAAGATTTCGTGACAAATTAAATATAATTTAATAAATCCAAACATTTAGGTGAGGAGATGCAAGATGGTGTTTGTGCTGAAAACTGAAGTATGGCCTCTTGTCTGAGCTTTCTGCAGCAGGCGGGTGTGTATCTGTTTACTGTTACTGCCTCTATGATGCCATCTTGTTCATTATTTGATTATGAGGTGGTTGCGTTTGTATGGTGGAACGTTAAATTCTTAATTTAAGATTACATTAATCATAGCCTTGTCTTCATTCTGACACACACAAACATGTTTGTTGTGTGTTGGACATGTTAGAAATCATTAAAAAATAGTATTTAGTGCATCACCATCTTTTTAGAAATACAAACAGCTCTCGTCACTATAACAGCTGATTAATACGCAACAGTATTATATTCTAGTGAAGTCTATAGCAACAGTCTATAACAAAATTTTATTTATATTAAAAACCACTTTGCTTCTTTAAGTGCAATTTAAAGGTCCACCTAAATACCATGGGATCATAGCTAACACCTCTGTGACTTTCTTCACACATTTGGATGTAAGTGTATGGACTCTGCCTTGGCCACTCCAAAATATTGAATTTACTCTTAGTTAAAGATTTTCGTTCAGGTTGTGGGTCATTGTTTTACTGGATGCATGTCCAGAGCTGCCTGAGGACAGATTGACTGATGTCTGCCTCTGGAACCCTAATTTCGTCCTGTTTTCCATGGATCATCCCAAGTCCAGGAATCACCTCCAAGGCCAGTGTGATGAATGTTCGCAGTTTGGCATCAACAAACAAGAACTACATCGGTCATCACTGAGGACACCAGCCAATGAGGACTCAACCAGGACAGGTACACTAAGAACTAGTCAAGAAATCAATGAAGACTCTACCTGTAAATACATTCACCTCACATCAGTGGACTGCCTTAGCTTGAACTTTAGTAGTTAATACAGTTAGAGGGGAAGGGGACATGGCTGCTCAGTGGATGTTGGATTCAGAATATTGTGCAGTTGATATTTATCAGAATTTTGTTGATTTCCAGTTAAACAAGTGGTACATCAATGTCCCTCGTCACTGAAGGATTTGAATTTGGGGCGGCTGTGGCTGAGTGGTTACAGCAGTCGTCCTCCAATGCAAGAGTTGGGGGTTTGATTCCACCAGCAGTCACATGCCAAAGTGTCCCTGTGCAAGACACTGAACCCCTCATTGCCTCTGATGTGTGTCCCATCAGTGTATGAATGTGATCTGAAGCACTGATTAGTCTTTGTAGAGATCTAGTAGAGTGCTGTATGAATGGATAAATGAGGGCACAGATTGTTGTAAAGAGCTTTGAGAATCTTGGTAAGATAGAAAGGTGTTATAAAAGTACAGCCCATTCACCATTTGAATTGTGAATGCTTGTAGTTTTGGAGAGGTGTTTTTCTGGACTGTAGTTGGACAGGGAACACAAGTAAACCTTAATGTTTCTGATACAAGACACTCAAGAGTTACACAGTGAAGAAGAACTGAGGCAGATTTTATAGCGAGTCCATCTCCGTGACCTCACAACTTTTGCCGTTGTACCTTTAGCAACGATTCAGACGTTAAACCTTCAAAAGATCCCAACTATCTTCAGAAGCTTGCTTCTACACACTGAAGGATCTGTCCCAGTCAGTCCTCTGGGTCAGTGTCACCTTCGGCTGATTCAAAGTGATTAAAAAGTAGATTCAGCGAACACCTTACAGTAAAGCAAATCCTTTTATGAAGAAAATCTGATTATTGGACTAATCAATCACAAGAACAGGTGTGCTTGTCAAAGTAGCAGAAGCCTTAATTAATGACTACACCGAGTCCTCTGTAGGAAGTTATTTTCCATCACGCCAGCACGTCAGGGAAACATGATTTGAGGGAAGAAATGATTTCCTGCTCGAGTGTCACTGTTCTAATAAGCGTTTATCATGTTGGTTGACTTGTAATTATTGTTAATGACATTGCGCTGATGACAAGCGGGAGCTCTACAAGTTATTACTCGTCTTGGCGAAGCTCGTGACAAGTAAAATAACACCGTCCGTTGAATTAGGGAGATGCTGTTTAACCACAGGTTCAGGAAGAACAGAGAACGCTGCAATCTGGTGGTGCAGTGTAATTATTATCCCATGAACTGCGCACCTGCAGGTTCTTTATTAAACAACGAGACGGTGTCGGGCTCCTGTTGGAGGGTGGAGTGGACACCAGAGACAACCTCCTCAAACGAGAAGTGTTTTAGTTCTAATCCCCAAACGTTGCAGAGTTTGGGGATTAGAAACGTTTACAGTGGAGGTATTTAGTTTATGCACCAATGCAGAGGTTTACTGAAGGCTGTGAAGGGTCATTTGACTGATCAGTGCAGCTGCAGGTCTTGGTTAAAGATGAACAAGTTTTATTCATATAGGTCTTTTTCATGTTGGAAACTATCTGAACTTTGTTATGAGGCTGCTGTAAGAAAAACTGAAATAACTTTTGTTACAATAAAGTTAAAGTGTTACATTTAATTGTTTTGGAGAGAAACAGCACTTTTTGTTGAAGCAGGCAGGTACCTTAAAGAAACCTGAACCAAACTTTTTGGAACCACTCGCCAAAATCAACAAATAAATAAACATGTAAGAAATTGAAAAAGAAACACAACTGTTAGGGAGCTTAAAAGGAATATTTTGTTTTTGCATAATTCCTCAATCTGGTCATATCTACAAAATTTAAAACCTGATGATTTTAGTTTTGCAACCCAAAACTCTGCTGGTTGCCATGGCAAACAAAGCATTCACAAAATCTCAGCATCTTCTCTGTTGATTTATTACTTATGTGAAAGGCAGATGTTTTGACCTGCTGAAACACATTAGACTAGTTTAAGTGAAGGAGAAGTATTGCACCACCTCCAAGGTAAGGTGTGTAGTCATGTTGGGTTGTCAAAAAATAAATTTTACTCTCCATGCCTTCAAAAATGTTATAATAAAATAAAGAACACATTTCACCTGTTTTTACTTTCTGGATCATGATTTCTATTCATTTACTTACGCCCTCTACCAAACATGATATTTTCTCCAGTTCGCTTGTAAGGGCAGCCCATAGACTGGTGTTCCTGATGAGACCAGGCCAACGTATTACACACGCTGGCTTTACATTTATTTATAGCAACACCATTTCTTTAAAGTGCTCTTTAACATAATCCCTTTTATAAAGTAACTGTAACACGACATGTTTATCACCATCATTTATCCCATCTTCATTGGACAATAAAAAAAAAATATGGCACATTACGCGTCCATTGATACCGTTATACAGCATAGTATACAGTATATTATGTTGTACATTATACTGTTATACAGTATCAATGGGTCTGTAGAAATGGCCTGGACAAGCCTAGTATAACATTTGACCTTGACTTGTGATCTTGACCTCGAAGCTGTGGTGATTAAGTCTACATAACACTGTATCTAGTGATGATCCATTTGTGTATCAAGTTACATTTTATTACCTTGAACGGACCAGAAGTTATGGGCCGACAGAGACCATGGAAACTTTATTTCCTTTTTTCTGGATGTAAATCACATTTTTTGGATGATTGTTTCCTCTGGTATCAGATGCTGAGCAGCTGGAAGGATTTTTAATGAAACTTTTTTCAAGTTTTGGACATTTGTTATGATGCGTAACCATGGCAACAAGGCAGTTTTCTATAACCAACAGCAGCAGCTGATTAACATCTCAAAAGCTCAAATAATATCTCAACTACAGCCCCAAATCTCAAATAAGTTGAAAAGGATGTTCTGTGGACGCATTCTCATCTACCTGCCAGCTGTGCTCGAGTGCCTGACCACTGAGATCCTGGAACTAGCAGGAAACATGGCTCATGACAGCTGAAGGACAGGATCGTCCCTCGACACCTACAGTTGGCTGTCCGCAGCGACCAGGAGCTCGGCAGACTGCTGGGAGGAGTGGCCATCGCTCTGGGAGGAGTTCTGCCCAGCATTCGGGCGGTTCTACAGCCCGGGGGAACCGAGAGGTCAGCTGAGTCTGGGTGGACGGATCTGACGGCATCCGCAGCCAGTTTCTTAGGATCCAATGTGGAATGGACCTTTACAAGAGATCCTTCCTGTCTACAGCGATCAGTAACATATCTTAATGAAATGAGGATAAGTTACAATTACAACAACAAATAATTTCCCTTTGGGATTAATAAAGTATTTCTGAATTGAATTGAAAACCAGAATATGCCCCGCCTTCAAAAGGTGTATGAAAATTAGTGGGAAAAAAATCTTTGCCTCACTCTTGATATACAATATTTAAATGTGACAGCAGCTACAGTTTTGTTTCTGCTCCTACATACACCACCACAAAAAGTCTAAACTGACTTCACCTTCTAATTGTTTAAGCTCTGCAAAATGCAGTGCGTCATTTCAAGACAACACTGTGTATAACTAGCGTGAAATAATTAATCTGAGTCAGTGTGAACAGTCAGAACCACAATACAGTCAACAAGGACACTGAACAATTAGAGAGGCAGGACTTTTATTTGAATCAAAGCATCAAATATAATTTTATCCAAGCATTAAAAACAGTGAATAGTTTATTTTGGATAAATGATGGTGAGCACTCCTGCAGCTGACAGCACCCTTGTCCTTCCCGAACCACGTCGCTCTTTCATCTCAGCCTTAGTTGTGGCCTTGGAGAGCTTCGGCCATGAACAGCTTCCCGAGGTTCTGTGAGGTGAATTCCTTCACGTTCTGGCAGTAGTTGTTAATTTGCCCTGTTGGAGGGGAGCCACATGCGTTCACACGCCCCCATACGATACCATGCAGCCCCCGCAGAAACATATGTACCGACGCATCCACACACACAGATTTGCACCAACACAAACAGGCGGAGGTGGGAAAGGAAACAGCAGCACAACATCAAATTAGTGGTGAGCGGAGTAAACGGAGGGATCAGAATGTTGTCAGGAGGCGGAGAGCTGGGCGCCGTCAAACAGCAGGAGAACAGGCAGCTGAACGGCAGCCGGAGTCAATAAACTTTAAATTAATGTAATTTTAAGATAATGGCAGATATAATTGCAAAACAGAATCTGAGCTCCTGTGAGGGGAGCAGAGGCGGATGATGGAATATGGAGGAAAAAGATGGTGGGGAGGGGGGGGGGGGGGTGTCTGTGATGCCGAACGTACCTGCAATGAGCAGCGTATCCATGCGTGGTGGAGCCTGGGGAGGCTTGAACAGTTTGGTGATGTCCTCTTCAGGCAGCGGGGGCTCTCCTCGGCTCTGCCGTTGGGTGTTCTCCTGCTGCCGCCTCTGGACGTACTGCGGGCCACAACAAGAGTGACATTAGTTGGAGGGGGGGTTGACGCAGGAAAGGAGAGAACAGACGGGGCCGATGCCACACGATACAAACAGGTGAAGAGAAATGATGACAAGAGGATGTGGGAGTTTTAAAAAAAAAAGTATCAGACAAAAAAAAGCAACAGGAGGCAGAAAGTTGGAGACGCCAAGAACACAAAGAAACGTAGAGAAAGGAGGCGACGAGAGCAGAAATGGGGAGACAGAAGAGTTATAAGCGCTAACTGGAAGGGAGTGATTTGTGGCGAGCTGACAGTCGGTAAATCAGCGAGGTGCCGTGTCCCTGGAGACCCTAAAAGCCTTGTTAATTTGGCACGATGAAGGAGAAAAGGAGAAAGGTTGTGGCACACAGAGGAGACAGCTGGTGGAGCGATGCACCAGCAACGCTTCTTCAGATGAAAAATAATAAAAATATAACAATTTGATCTTTTTGTTACTGACGGCGTGTCGCAGAGTGACTATGCATGATAAAATGCTAATGTGCAAAACTTTAGTACTTTCGCTTCACTTTATACAGTATAAAACAGTACCAAAAAAAAAAAGGTTTAACAGACTTTGGAAGTTATTAAAAAATGGGGTACAAATACAGAAGTGTGTTCAGCTCAGAAAAACAGAGGCACGCTTGTCTGATTTTTCTCAAAGTGCTCATTCGCTGTCAAGATGAAATTTTTTCAAGCCGCCAACTCTGAATTGGACCTGGCTCTAGTCTTCTGTGTTTAGATGATGTCTTGATGAAAAGCAGTTCTCATGCAGGCTTGCAGACAGAGCTTTGTGTATTTTGTCGTATTTACTCCATCTTCACGAGCGTTCCAGCCCCTGCTGCTGAGCGGCATCCCCACAGCGTGTTGCTGGAAACACCGTGCAGCGTGCTGGAGACGGTGCGTTCACAGAGCCGTCCTGGAGTCAGACCCAATGAATTCTCCAAGTTGGAGCAGGACCAAATTAACTCTGCATACTACAGAATGGTCTAATCTGATCAGGTAATGCATCCAATCATAATAAACCCTCCCTAATTGTATTGGGAGCTAATAATCACAGCAGACAGTAGACAGCGTACGCTTTCAAATGACTGCTATCGTACAGATTGAATTACAGAGATCATTATCTTAGAGCCGAGTTTGCTATTATTTAATTACTGGTCAAGGAGGTGAAAATGCAGCATTTAATTATTTCAGCAAAATAAATCTCAAATGCATTTCAGTATGATAATTTAGATTTTTTTTTCAGACACATAGGTTTTCATGTTTGCTACTGTAGCATGCCATTAACCCAGGAGGTCCCGTGACCTTTCGGACAGTGTAGCTGAGGGGAACCAGCAACCAACATTTAAGATTTTATATGTACAGCACTTTGTGGCAGCTGTGGTTGTTTTAAAGGGCTTTATACAAACCGGATTCCAAAAAAGTTGGGACACTAAACAAATTGTGAATAAAAACTGAATGCAATGATGTGGAGGTGCCAACATCTAATATTTTATTCAGAATAGAACACAAACCACAGATCAAAAGTTTAAACTGAGAGAATGTATCATTTTAAGGGAAAAATCTGTTTTCAAATTTCATGGCATCAACAAATCCCAAAAAAGTTGGGACAAGTCCATTTTTACCACTGTGTGGCATCCCCCCTTCTTCTTGCAACACTCAACAGACGTCTGGGGACAGAGGAGACCAGTTTCTCAAGTTTAGAAATAGGAATGCTCTCCCATTCATGTCTAATACAGGCCTCTAACTGTTCAATCGTCTTGGGCCTTCTTTGTCGCACCTTCCTCTTTATGATGTGTCAAATGTTCTCTATAGGTGAAAGATCTGGACTGCAGGCTGGCCATTTCAGTACCCGGATCCTTCTCCTACGTAGCCATGATGTTGTGATTGCTGCAGAATGTGGTCTGGCATTATCGTGTTGAAAAATGCAGGGTCTTCCCTGAAAGAGATGACGTGTAGATGGGAGCATATGTTGTTCTAGAACCTGAACAAAGTTCTCTGCATTAATGGTGCCTTTCCAGACATGCAAGCTGCCCATGCCACAAGCGCTCATGCAACCCCATACCATCAGTGATGCAGACTTCTGAACGGACAGTTGATAACAACTTGGACTATCCTTGTCCTCTCTGGTCCGGATGACATGGCGTCCCAGTGTTCCATAAAGAACTTCAAATCGTGACTCATCTGATCACAGAACAGTCTTCCATTTTGCCACACTCCATTTTAAATGACCCCTGGCCCAGTGCAAACGTCTGAGCTTGTGGAGCTTGCTTAGAAATGGCTTCCTCTTTGCACTGTAGAGTTTCAGCTGGCAACGGCGGATAGCACGGTGGATTGTGTTCACTGACAATGCTTTCTGGAAGTATTCTGCTTGTCAGACAGGCCCCCTCCCTCTCGGTTTTCAAGTCCCGTTTAAAAACTCACTACTATTCAGTAGCTTTCAACACAAGATTATCTGTGTTTTGATCCTGCATGCTCCACAATGGTTTGTCGTCATTATCTGCATCGTTTTTTGTCTATATTCTGATTTACCTCATTTTGTATTTTGCTTTGTGTGTTACCTGTTGTTTTGTCTGTACAGCACTTTGTTTGGCTTTGTAGCTGTTTTAAGTGCTCTATAAATAAAATGGTATGGTATGGTGGATTGTGATCACTGACAATACTTTCTGGAAGTATTCCTGAGCCCATTCTGCTATTTCCTTGACAGTGGCATTCCTGTTTGAGGTGCAGGGACGTTGAAGGGTCCGGAGATCACGAGCATCCAGTAGAGTTTTACGGCCTTGACCCTTACGCACAGCGATTGTTCCAGATTCTCTGAATCTTTTGATGATGTTATGCATGGTTGATGATGATAAATTAAAAGTCTTTGCTATTTTACGCTGGGTAACACCATTCTGGTATTGCTGCACTACCTTTCTGCGCAACAATGGTGGAATTGGTGATCCTCTTACCATCTTGGCTTCTGAGAGACACTGACACTCTGAGAAGCTCTTTTTATACCCAATCATGTTGTCAGTTGACCTAATTAGTGTTAATTGGTCTTCCAGCTGTTCGTTATATGCTCAATTTATTTTTTCCAGCCACTTATTGCTACTGTGAAATTTTGAATCAACATATTTTTTTTTTTAAATGTTACATTTACTCAGATTAAACTTTTGATCTGTCATCTATGTTATATTACGAATAAAATATTGACATTTGCCATCTCCACATCATTGCATTCGGTTTTTATTCACAGTTTGTTTAGTGTCCCAACTTTTTTGGAATCCGGTTTGTAAATAAAGTATTATCATTATTATTATTAAACTACAGTACTTAAAAATACCACTTTTTAATATTCTTCCCACAATAAACGAAAGCTGAGCCTGAAATAAAACATCAAATTTAAAATAAGTTTTTAATTAATTAATTAATTTTACTTTTCAAGGATTTTTAGTCAAAATAAATAAATAAATAAATAAACGCATTCCAGTTATTTAAAATGTGACAAGTTTAGTTATTTTATGATATTTAATTTTTCCCCTTTTTAGTGCAATAAAAAAAAAAAATGGGGCAATTTTTGTGTAATTATTTATGGCCCCGATTTTTGTGAAGATCCTTAAGCTCAATGGACCCTTCAGATCCAGTAGCTGAATATGAGGTCCTGTTTTCGGTCTGTATTGACTCTCAGTTTTATTTTTTCAATAAAAAAAAAGTATTTATTTTTAACTCTACCCATGGTAGAAACAATAGTTTCAAATTTGTGTTTTGCTTTTACTGACCCAGATATTCTAGCGAGCCGCTGCAGCCCGATGTGCCGCTAATGACCTCCTGCTTTGGAGGAAGCTAACGGGAGTCAAACGCTGTGCGTCTTGATTCTGCAGCCTACATTCATGTGCAGCAGATATCTTTATGCTAAATGTTTAATTGTGCAACTTGCAAGCACGCTTTTGCTCTTTACATTCAAACTAAAAGGATTTTGTCGGTCGAGACAAGAGGTGGAACTCTGCAAGTCCAGCCAGGATTGAGGCGCCTCCTCTGGGATGAGTACCGGTGACTCCGGTAAATTTTTACAGGTTCTCAAACATAAAAGCAGAGCACCACATAGAAAGTTAATACAAAAATCAAAAGTATAGGAGTAGAGGTGTAAAAAATTCTTAGAGGAATGCATTGTTTTACGATACAATACGGAATCTAAAAGTTTATTTGTAATTAATTGTCTCCAAGGTTGATTTTTTTTTTCTCCTAAGGAACAAGCATGTAGTAATGTTACTGTGTGATTACAGGAGCATTCAAAAAAATTCTAGCAAAATTTAAAAATCATAATATATAAGGATTTTTAGGCTTTGTGAGGAAAAAAAGTGTTTATGGACTGTACCAAAATAAATAAATAAATAAAAACAGACAAAAATAAATGAGTGGCTGATTGTTTTCTCCATAGGTCTTCCAAGGGTTAACTGCTGATTATCACTTTCTTGGAGTCTGTGTTTCTCCCTTTTAGAAATCTTCTTTGCATCTCTTGCATCAGACAGATAAATGATCCGCTCCTTTTGGTACCCCAACCCTCAAGAGTCTGAACCAATTACCCTTTCTTCTTCACACAAACACTTCTTCTTGGCAATACTCTGCTGATTTGGCTCATCATGCATGAGTTTTTCTTTAAAGGCAGAGAAAACGACTACCTGGCTCAGAAACAATGTTGTTAAATCTTTTAATTGAAGCTAAATTGTATCATTAACAGTAATTTATGCTTCAGAGGATTAAAACGTTGCACCGTACCTAATCTACAGCAAAGTGTTGTGAAGCGTCTTTAGATGTGAATGAATCGAGGAGGAGTGAGACATAGGTTTCCTCTTTTTATTTATTTTTTCTTTTTTTATGTGTCTGCAAACTGCGTCAGGGAACCTGAGATTTACCAGATTCAGAGAGCTGCAGAAGAAAAATGGAGCCCGCTCAGCACGATGCCTTTTTGCAACTTTCTATGATGATTAATAAGGTTCCATTTGTCCTGGAAGCAGCAGGGTCAATAGCACCAGATTACAAGGGCCACGCACTGTTGGTGTCTGAAAGGTTTAATAGAAGCTCACTTTCTCTTTCTCTATGTGCTTTATTGGTTCATAATGGGGAATCGTGTGAAACATGAAAAAAGCTGCCACTATAAAAGGGCTTGTCTGTATGATATTGTATATGAGCCTGGGTGTATGTGAGAGTATGGGGGTGGGGGTGGGTGTAGGCTGTGATGATACAAAGATGAGTACAGCGAGGATGATGGATCATGATGGCCTGAAAGTGTGGGTGAATGACCCGGGGATGAAACATATACATTTCTTTTTGTGTTTATATGGAGTATGGTCATGGATGCACGTCTCTGCTGCGATGTGAGTGAAGCTGGCTGTGACTCCATCAGCAGTTGGATGGGATGATGACTCAGCCCGGATCAGCATCCATAACACAGATATTTTCTCGCTTCCACTTGCAGAGTAATGACTGAATAATGTAGACGGTTTTAATGTAGGAGTATGTTTGTGCGCACATCAGTGAGTCACATCAAGCTGCTATTCTTCTATTTTTCCAGTATAATGTGTGCATGTAGCTGTGTGACGCTTGTGTTGCCAGATGTTCATGAGATTGTAGTTGCAGATGGCAATCAGTATATGTAGAGCGTGCGTGCATCTGCGAGTACTTGCACTTCTTTAGTGCACTTGTCACTGTATATTTGCGTTTTGGTAAGTGCTACACTTTCTGCTTCTAAACGAAGTCTGAGTTGTGATGTGGCTACGCCTACTCATCAGAATAAAGACGGACTCCGAGTGCCAGAACCAGATTTTATGTGCATCAACTCTCGTTGCTTTTAATGATGAATGAACATTACTTTCTAAACACCCAAATACCTGAGACTCACAGTGCATCTGGCAAGTATTCATAGAACTTCACTTTTTCCACATTTTACTTTACAGCCTTATTCCAAATTATATTAAATTATACTCTTTCCTCAAAATTCTACACACTACCCCATTATGACAATGTGAAAAAAAGATTTAGAGATTTGTGCAAATTTATTAAAAACAGAAAACTTAGAAATCCCTTTGTGTCACTCAGCAGATTTTATACAATTTGGAATAAGGCTGTAACATAAGAAAATGTGAAAAATAGTGAAGCGCTGTGAATACTGTCCAGATGCACTGTATGTTAGACTAGAAAAACATTTGCTCTGCACTAATGTACCAATCTTGGGTTGGTTTTCTTTAAAAACAGGGATTTTAACCCACATTTTGTTCATTTATGTGAAGAAAACATGCTTCTGTTTAGAAAGTCTGACATGCACTTGATGAACAGACCTACTGTACTTTTCTTTACTTAGAAAACATTAATGATGAACACAGAGGCTGAGGATAGATAAAAAAAAAAAAAACATTTTTTAATTCTTCATGATTTGCTTCCAGGGTGCCAAAGACTCTTGTATTCTTGTAGGGGTCAAGTTTTCAGCCAATTACATTTGGAAATCAACTTGTTGGGTTTACTCCAGGTACTCCAGTTTCCTCCCACAGACCTTAAACATGCATGTTAGGCTGATTGGTAACTCCAAATTGTCTCTAGGTGTGAGTGAGAGAGTGAATGGCTGTTTGTCTCTATGTGTCCCTGTGATGGACTGGAGACCTGTCGATCGATCGATCAATCAAACAGTTGGACGGATGGATGGAATCAACTTGTATTTTATGTCTGTTCAGCTGTGTTTTGTGAAAGTTATGTTAAACAAGCCAACCCAACATCACCAGGGTTCTTTCAGTACAACAGATACTACTGTAGTACCTGAGATATGGGTTTGCATACACCCGATTGTGATTACTTTCTTGCTTTCTTCCCATTAGCCTTTTAAGTGAATGAGCTTCCATCAATGATGTGTCTGAATTCTTGACACAAATTTGAGTTAATGCTATGTGCGGGTTGGACTCTGCCAGGGCTGTCTCTCATCTCCAATCTTGTTTGTGGTGTTCATGGACAGGATCTCAGGGCACAGACTTGGAAAGGAGGGTGTCTGGTTTGGGAACCTCAGGGTCTCGTCTCTGCTTTATGCAGATGATGTGGTTCTGTTGGCGTCACCCTATCTGTAAGGCTGCGCCCAGCCACCCAACACAGGAAGCTCATTTCAGCTGCTTGGATCCGGGATCTCATTCCTTCAGTCCTGATCCAAACCACATGACCACAGGTGAGGGTTGAAACGTATACAGACCAGTAAAGCCAGAGCTTTGCCTTTCGACTCAACTCTTTCTTCATCACACAAGCAATGCTCTAATTAACCAAAGCAATGCCCTCATTACTGAGGACGAGACCTCAACCTGTCGATCTATCTTCTGCTCCATCCTACCTTCACTCAGGAAAACGATGACCAGATACTTGAACTTCTCCACCAAGGGCAAAGAGCCAGATTCACTTAATTTTACTATATCCTTATTTGTAGTTAGAAATGTGACAATAAAGTTGGTTTTATACCATGACTGGATTTATTGTAATTATTGTGTCTGTGCTGAAAGTCTTTTTGAAAGTGACTTAAATAGAGCCAACCATGTGCTGAAATAAGAGGAAGCAGCACCTTCTCACAGTGGATCAACCAGTTTTTGGCAGTCAAAACTACTGGTAGTTGCTTATACGACTGGGTATGTTGCAGCTGCTCAGACTGAACAAGTCTTTTGGATAAAAGAAGACAACAAAGAAGAATCCATCCAGAGGACCTGACTCAACCTTGTTACATTTAATCTATCAGGATTATTGAGCAAGCATCAGGACATTTAATAAAAAAGTTTTAATCAAGAAGGTATTTCTCATTTATTGATCTGTGTAAGGGAGATCTTGCTTTACGATATCACTCAGAGGGAACACAAATATTTAAAGTTTCCAGTTGACAGCGGTAACTGGTGTGTTCTTAAATGTTCAGGCCTGGATGTTTCTGTTGCTGTGTGTGGGTATGTTTGTCTCACCCAGTGCCACTGCTTCTTATCTGCATTATAGGTCCAACTGGTTGTGCCAACGTCCTACAGAATTACACCTGCTGTTTCTCCATGGAGACTGTGACTGTAGGTGCATCTGCTTGTAAATGTGCGTGTGAAAGGGAAAACGTGGAGGAAGTGAAGCGGTCTATATATGCATGCTGGTGAGCTGATGTGCCTGCTGCTCCTGCTGTCTCATTGTGTGGGTGGTGTGGGCACTTTGCTTCCTGAAAGCCTGCGTGCGTACAAGCGTGCGTGAAGAATTTACCTGGTGCTTCTGCTGCTGCTGCTTACTCAGGTTGCGGCTGTAGGTGTTATATTTGACAATGTCCTGGTTCAGGTCATCCACCCTGTCCATCAGAAGCTGAAGACTCTTCTCCAAGTGGTTGCTGGAACAAAACAAAAAAGACAACACGCCATTCAAAATTGTTTGTCCAGCAGCGTATGAGCATGTGATTTATGCTGGCTGGCTTTATCCATCAACAGGTCTTTTCTTTCCAACATCCCAATATGATAATATCAGGACTCATTGGGCTCAGATCAGGAAACATAAAACACACATGGACTGACCACCAGAGTCCAAACAGTACCTCCACTGGGGATATTTGGGATGAACTTAAGACTTTACATATCCCTACAACAGCAACAGTCATAATTCAAGATCAACATAAACCATGGGCTGATAAAATAATGGAAAAAGGATTTTCTAAACCTATTTTTGAGGTCCATGGAAGTCTGACAGAACCATCAACTGTGTGATTTAGTGGAACACACAACCAAGCTCCCACTATCTCACAATGTCAGCTCTTAAAAAAACTGTGAAAACTGGAGTCAGTATGGATCATCTTCAAACTGAGCTCCTGGTTGAACAATTTCCATATCCAACTCTTGTCTCAGAGTTTGCTCTGAAGTTGTAACTGTAGAATCATTCCTGCACTTTTGTCTTATTTCTGTTGGAAAATCAGCCAGTAAACATGCAAACTACAATCCAAATCATGCATATTTAAAATTAAACAAGAGGTACACCAATGTCCCCGTCATGCAGGGATTTCATCATGAAGGACTCCACTCACCCAGCACACACACTTTTTGCCCCACTCCCCTCAGGAAGGAGGTTAAGGAGCATTAAGTGTAGAACCACTAGACTGAGGAACAGCTTCTACCCTGAGGCTGTTAGACTCATGAATCTCTAACTAGAATAATCACTGTGAAAAACCACATCATGTTGCTGCTGATCTGTTTCATGTTGCTGCTGATCTGTTTTATGTTGCTGTGTTCATTCATACTAATCTGCTCACACAGACTCATGTTCGTGCTGTGTATTGTTTTTTATACTACTAGTGCTTAGTGTATTTTTTAGTTGATGTTTTTCTTAGTTCATATCTTAGATCTTATTACTGTTTTTCTTTTACATTTTATTGATGGATGTAACTGGGACCATGTGTACATAATTCCATTCGCACCACATTTACCACCTGTGGTGTGTACGACAATAATGAATCTCTGAATTTGAGTAGTGAATGTTTCTAGTTTTGGAGACGAGTGTTTTTCTGAACTGGAATTGAACAGAGAATGCAAGTAAACCTGAATGTTTTTGATGCACAATATTAAAGTGGGTAGGAGTTGCACAGTGGAGAAGAACAGTAGTTTTATTTTTTCCTTGTCCAAGGCGTTGCAGAGTGATGGAGCCATTTTATCCAGCACCAGGTGTAGTGGAGGAGAAAGTGAACTATTCTAATAAAGTATTTGAATACAGCCTACATGTCGACACTGCTGGTTTGTCGTGTTAACTCACAGGTTTTGAGTCACTTTTCTTCTCACATCTTTTTGAACTCAAGGGTTTAGAAAAATAAACTGTCAACAACTCAGGCTATACAAAGTCAGGACATTTTTCTACACTATTTTCTCAGCTACTCTAATCTTGTATTTGAATTCTAAAATAGTCAGATATGCTTTCTTGAAGTATCTTTGCAGACTTAAGTAACCCAGGCTTTGCACTACGAGAGTGCTAAAGCCTGAGAGCATTTGCTCTTGTCCTCCTGTCATGTCACATTTCTGATTTTCCACCCAACCCTGTCATTTTGACAGCAGTCACAACACTACCAGCATTCTTCATCCTTTTTCTCATTTTTTACCACTTGTTGCAGAATTCTAAACAGCACGTCTCATTTCTACCTTGAGTTCAACCTTGACAAAGGCTGCAGTGCTCTACTTTATGTTATGTCTTCATTGGTTGAAATAGATTGTCTTATTTTTTTAAGTTTGGGAGCTAAACTGTGCGGCAAAAACGAATCCTGTTTTATCTGTATTCTTTTAGAAAGTGCACTCGAATGGCCTGTCGGTGTAGGTTTAGACTGTACACAAAAGGGTGTTGTATTTTTGTTTCACCAGGACTAAAGGCCTTAAGCTCATCTGTTCCAAAGTATTTTTTTAATTTAACCTTTATTTGTACAGATGGTCTCATTGAGTCACGAGGACTCATTTTCAAGAGAGACCTGTTTCAGACAGACAACATCGAGTACAATATTGAGGTGTTTGTGCTCAAAGACACAAAATCCATGCCCCCCATTTTCCAACAGTGAAATCTTACAAGGCAGTTTGATTTCACTGAAAAGAATTCCCTCTGTCAAGCTCCGAGCTATCCACTTGTTTTGTGGCCAAGACATAAAAACTCAAATTGAGAATGGTCCTGCAGCTATGGGCAATATTTCCCATTCAGCATCTGTTTTAGAGCGTTGTTGATAAGCTTAGATTTGCTATAGAGAGACAAATATTTCAACCAATAAACTTGTCTTTTACAAAAGTGCCTGCTTCTTTTCAAACAACCTCTTTACATTCCACAAGGTCACACAGCATGTAACAGATAATAGATTATTTAAGTCAACGTGTTTGTTACTAATCATCTCAAAGCAGGTTTTTGACAAACTACACAGCTTAGAGGATGAGCCTGATCATAATGTCAAGCAGTGGGAAAGACTTTTCAACTTAACAAGCAGTATGTCCATGTCCCCCAGCACTGAGGGATTTGAACAGTGAATGTTTGTATTTTTTGAGATGAGTATTTTTCTGGACTGGAAACCCAACAGGGAATACAAGTAAACCTTAATGTTTTTGGTGCAATATATTCAAGTGGGTTGGAGTTGCACTGTGGAGAAGAACAGAGATGTTTCTATTTATTTTCTTTGATTGTCCAAGGTGGCAGAAAGTGATGGAGCATAGCGAGTGGAGGGAGCCATTTTATCCACTACCAGGTGCAATGGAGGAGCCAGGCAGTGGCCAAAGGTGGCCTTGGTTACTATAGAAAAACCTTTGGCCACCCCAGTCATTTGAGGAAAATATACTTTAAAGCACTATTAAAACTAGAAAGCCTAGTTTCCTCACATTATAGGGGTGGTTAGTTTATATATGGCAGCGGCCATCTTGGATTTTGACCTGGCAAACCAATATTCTAAAGGAACCTTGCTTATATACCTAGATGCAGCCACACACCAAAATGGAAGTCAGTGTGTTGCTTATTTTTACAGTTATCCAGCTCATATGATTTACATAAAATAAACTTTATACCATACATATATACATATATCGTGGCAGCCATCTTAGATTTTGATGTGGCAACCCAACTTCAGCGTAGGTGCAGCCACACATCAAAATGAAAGACTCACTTGCTTTTCAAGTTACACATGGTCAAACAGACAAAGGGTATTTCCAATTCTCTCTTTTTATGCCTTGACGGAAAAAAAAAAAACGTGAGAAAACTGATTTTCATATTTCTTAACTTTAGATTGGAGAAGTGGCAAACTCTATAAAGTTTGCAGTTTACTAAACAGTTTATTAAATGTTACCAAACTTGTTGACTTTATTACTGTGCTGCTTCATCTGCAAGTGAAATTCTTCATCCCGTAGTAGTCCACGCATCGTGTTAAAGGCTTAACAGTGTAATTTAAATACAAGATCAGATTGTTTTCCTGAAACAAAAAAAACGTTCTTCTGATAGGATCAAGTCAAATTGTTAAATGTCAGAAATACTGCACTAACAGTTTGCATAAGTAACTAAAAGCCTACACTGCTGCATAAAATGCTGCCCCCCTCCTCATGTTTAAATAATTATGCACATCCTAAAGATCGTCTCAGCTTGGGATCAGATTCCAACTGTTGCCAACACCTTAATCACATTCAAACACAAACATGAACACATGCACAGAAAAATACTGAAACTAACCACAGGAAGAACATGATTAAATGTTTACAGCTGATGATTAGTTATAATGATGCTTTTCTCACATGTCCAAACAATCTGTAACCAAATTCATATTAAAGTCTTACACCTGCAGGTGATATGTTCATTTCTGTCATATTATTATGTTTACATGTTCAAACCCCCCACCAGGTATTACATTTTTACATATTGATGCTTCTCTACGTTTTAAATCAAAGTTTAAAGAAAATGTGAAGGCGCAGAATGTTTTGTAATGCCAGCAAGCATTTTTATGCTTTTAATTATTTTCAGTGGAGTCATGTTAGCCTGCAAAGCCTGCTCTGTGATCAGTTTGGCAGCCTTCCACTGTAAACATGAAAACTGATGGCTCAGGACCAAATCTCAGGATAACACTTCCCTGCTGTGTCCTTCTGACTGTGTCAGAATTGATTCTCGCTGATGAAAGCCTGTTAAAAACTATTTTACCAAAGCAATATGGTGGCTAATGTGCATGGTGTGCACAGACAGTATCTGCACGGGGAACATTTAGTCAGAGTGGAAGTTTTAAACATGTGTCCAGGGCTTTTACTCGTTTTATTCTGTAATTTCATACTTGTATGTATTTCAATAGTTTCCATTTTCAAGCTATTTTTGTCATTAATAAGTATGCAAGTTTGTATTAAATGGTGACGGGGCTTTATTTTAATATCCAAAACACCATAAAAAACGAAATAAAAAAACTGCACAGCTGAGACCAACACTTAAATTCTCTAGTTTTCCCAATTAACCAATAATTTTGACACAAGGTTCAAGATTTAAATATAAAAAATGTACTTTTCGTAAAGCTGTGTTCTCATCTATGACAAACCAGAGTTAGCATGCTTTAGGGCAAGGCTAGAATTTGACTGACAAGTTTTACACTGTGTATGTAACATTTGGTCAATTAAGGACCTGTCGCTGCTACCAAGATCCTCCATTGCCTGCACGGACCGAACTCTACGGACCCGTTCGGCTCCGTGGGGAAACCTTGGATGATCTGTGTCTGCCGGACCCGGTTCTGAAGGGCAGTTGCTGCAGGCATTATTATCATCATCAAGCAGCTAATGTGATCTGCTAACAAGACCACACTGCCAATGGTGCTGTAGAGGCATTTATTTTTCACTTTTGGCACCTTGTTTTTGTATTTTTATATTA